CGTCGGAAAAAAATTGAAACAATGATATTTTAACAATGATATTTTCGGAAAATTTTCTGTCCGTTGAAATTTTTCTTGAGTGGAAATGCGCCTTTAATCTTTATTGGTGATTTCCGGTTATGCAACGGTCGATCAATCACTAATAAATTTCATAATTTTTCCGCCCAAGTCTATTCTCGTTCGTGATTGGTTAAAACGCGTCAAATAATTCTCGGTATCCTGAAGCCGTCGCGGTATTTCAGCTCTTGCCGCCATCCGCGTGCAATAATACTTTTTTTGGACTGAAATTCGGTATGTAAAAAAAAAGTATCGTTGCACGCTGTCGTGTCTCGCCTCGTCCCACACTGAAGCCCTGGGAACGAGGTTGACGCTGTAGTTACCAAGCCCCGGCGCGGTTCACTGTTTGCCAAAAAGCGCGCGAAAATTCCATATTTTTAAAAAGCGTAAACAAGATGTCTTTGCTTTCTTTCTTTCTTATAGCTTTTGAATATATAATAAACAATTATTGAATTCGGTTTTCGTATGATATCTAGAATAATCAAGGCTTCGGTTTGTGTTATCTACCTCAGTCTTCGGCTTCGGATAGTTCGGTGGATAACGCAAACCTCGGCCTTTATAATTCTCGACAATATTTTAATGTATTAAAAATCTTATCTTTTTGTTTCTATATTATTAAAAAGGTTATGTTTGCATCTGGCATTGGACTCTGCACTCGTATTTCTCAGGAATACGGACCAAGATACGGACCAGTAAGTCAAAACGATTTATAGATTCTAGATAAGTCGGAGCGAAATATATTAAAATGCCGGCCGAATTTACGCGTGTTCACAAGTTAAATTAGCACTCGTGTAAACCCAAAATATTTCAAATACAGCAACGAAATTTAAACGAAAAGCATTCGTATTTACTGTAATGTTTTGAGATTTGAGATGCTTGGCTTGCACTAAGTTGTACAAAAATTAAGTTAAACCCCACTTAAACGGCGTTTGTAATTTTGTGTTCACACAAAGACGCCAAGGGCTCCATTTTCATCACGCTCCGTTTAGAAACCTTATGCTCGAGTCTCGCTGTTTATCTTGAATAAAAGCTTTGCACTAAATATCGCGTTTCCATGCATAAAAAAACACATTTATATGCATGTACGTTTAATAGTTTGTTTAAAAATTAAATTAGCACTCATGTAAACCCAAAAGATTTCAAACAGAACAAATATTAAATTCGAACGAAAAGCATTCGAATTTAATGTTTTGAGACTTGAGACCTTGGTTTCCAAGCTGTACAAAAAGAACTAACGGCGTTTGTGTTCACATGCACGAAGCCGTAAAGCGCTCTGTTTTCATCTCGTTCCGTTTTAGAAACCTCAAGCGAATAGTCTTGCTTTTTATCCTGAATAAAAGCTTTGCACTATTAATTATCAAATATGGCGTTCCATTAAAAAAACATTACGTACCTACTTTTTAACGCTAGACTCCTTCTTTTTAGGGATGTACCTTGTCGTTTGGGTTGTTAAATTTCTTGCTCTGTCTTGCTATGGTCATCTGTTTGTGTTTCTCAATGAGAGATTTTGACAAGGACAAGTGGTTCAGACCACCAAAGCCATATCTTGTCGTGGATCCTGACCACTGCGTTGTTGAACGTCATGTAAACGAGTATGAAAAGCTTTTAAATTTTAGTTTAATTATTCCATAAATTTGATTGACTGTTTTATCAATTTTGAGTTTTGATCCAATCTTCTACTGGGATCAGGTTTATTGGCATATGGACTGTCCTTTCTAGAAATCCAGTAAAGGTCACCTCTATATTTTCCCAGTTTTACTACAGGAGAAAACCTAGACTAACTTTATTCATACTGGATAGCCGATAGCTCGTATTAGTTTTAAACTGTTCTCGCTATAGAGAGTAGAGGTCCAATAAGGATAGTCTCTTATTGATCCAGTATTACTACGTACAAGAAGAAACCTAAACTAAACTAACTTTAGTCATACTGAATAGCACTATCAATTTTAAACTGTTTGTTCTTGCTAGAGATCCAGTAAGAGTCATGCCTTGATGATCCAGTGTTACTACAGGGGGGAACGTAAACTAAAGGAACTATATTCATACTGGATAGCTCTATCAGTTTTAAACTGTTCTCCGTAGAGGTGTAGTAAGAATTATCTCTTAGTGATTCAGTGTTACTATATGAAGAAACCTAAACTAAACTAACTTTATTTATACTGGATAGTTCTATAAGTTCTAAACTGTTCTCTGAGGTCCAGTAAGGATCATCTCTTATTGATCCAGTGTTACCACAGGAGGAAGCCTAAACTAAACTAACTTTATTTATACTGGATAGCTCTATCAGTTCTAAACTGTTCTTCCTAGAGGTCCAGTAAGGATCATCTCTTATTGATCCACTTTACCACAGGAGGAAGCCTAAACTAAACTAACTTCATTTAGGCTATATTGGATAGCTCTATCAGTTCTAAACTGTTCTTCCTAGAGGTCCAGTAAGGGTCATCTCTTATTGATCCATAATTACCACAGGAGGAAACCTAAAATAAACTAACTCTAAACATTTCCTTCCAGTTATTACTACTATGACCGAATCAAGAAACATGGCCGCGATGGTCTCAAATATGGCTCGATTTTGATTGGTTTAGCCTGTCTGGAAATGGTGCTGACCCTGCTGAGATGCTTGTTCATTGGTCAAATGAGAGGGTACTTCGGAGCGACCGACAAACAACGCAAGGCGATGGTAATGCGAAATGATCGACAGCGAAACGCACAGAGCATCTAGGACGGCCTTGGTTTTTCACACCAGGCAATTGAAAGGATTTAAGATTGCATAATAATACGATGTTTATATCGCGAACTCTTTTTTATTTGATAGCAGAAATTAGTGCATACTGGGTTTTTCATAATCTCATATAAATGAAATGGCATCATAGGTGTTTGGGAAGGATAATTGCAGAAAAGCCCAATTTATGCTGTGAGGCCCGTTTGCTGGGCTTATTTTGTGTGTTCATGCCTTCATCGTCGAGAGCCATGCATAATATATTAGAGGACAGACTCCCGGAATTACGTCACACAAAATAGCATTTGTATAGATCATGTAGACTATCTTATCTATTTGTCATCTGACTTTAGTCTAATTTGAAAGATATTTGAAAACTGTAGAGTAACTTCTTTGACAGATTTTTGTTTTCTTGCCTCGTTTTGGAGATATTTCATTTTGTATGATATGCAAAGGACCAACTTTCTACGTCACACATGCATAATGACTTACTTTAAAATGTTATTTTCCATCACTCATAATCTCATTAATAATTCATAAGCTTACTGGCAAATCATGTCAACCATAATATGTCACGTGCAGTGGCTTTAAACCTGATAAAACACTCCTAATAAAGTATACTAATAAGGGAGTATCTATTGTAGTCGTGGCTTTAAACCTAATAAAACACTCCTGCTCGTTTATTAAACAGTACATAATTTTGTCACTATCTAATTAATTCGCTCAAAATGAATGAGCACGAGATTTGTCCACAGCAACACCCATGTAGGTTTTCTACGATTGTTTTGCATATTTTACTCTACAGTTTTCAATCTTTCACATTAGACAAAAAAAAAATAACACCGTCAATGGACCATTTGCATTATAGACTAAATTTTGATCTAGACAAAAATTTCATCACAGCTTGAAAGAGCATCACAAAATTAGTAATATTCCAAAGTTTCGTTGCGAAATGTTGTAAAATGCACGTTGCGAAATGTTGTAAAATGCGGATAATATAG